AATGACTTCTGGGGAAAAAAATAGATGTAATTTTTTTAAGTAGAGATTTTGACCTAAAGTAGTTAATATTAATTCTTTGGAATAGGAAATGAATAGGAAATGAGATTTATTCACAAATTTGCAAATTCTTCTTTGCTGTGCTTATTAGTGTAATTCTTTAGATGTTATCTTTACACATTTGCATTTTTTTCTTGGAGCTCCCCCAAGTTTGTATGGCCTAACCACAAGTTAGTTTGGTTGTTAACCCATGTTAGCATTAAATTTTGAGTAGCAGGTAGCTATGAGCCAAAACCTTGGTTGTAATCCACCTATATGAGCTTGGTTAAGTTATTCTTTTTGTGTCTGTGTTTTACTTCTCTGCAAAATGTAGATGATACTCATCCTGCCCATTTTCTTGCATTATTGGGAGAATGAAATAACATAAAAGATACATAAGCACTTTAAAGATTACAAATGCTTGCAATTGTGAGACATTGCTGCAATATCACTGCAGAAGCCCTTTGCTCATATTGAGCTTGAATGTGCTCCTTGTCATCCTCAGGATATGAAGGGAGGAGGGGAAAAAAGCCCCATCCCATTCTTGCACTCTGGTCAGTCTGCCTCTTCAAATTTGCACACTTCTAATTGTACCTAATGAAAAAAAAAAGAAAATATAAGGCAAAAAAGTATTATCTAGAGGAAAGAAGAATGTTACTATTAATAAAAAGGAACAATTTACTAGGGAAAAAAAAAGAAAAGGAACTTTTTTAGGTCCCAGTTGCAGGAAACATTTAAAATAGAACTGGCCTGGGGCAGTTTTCAAAATAAAATCTAAATAATGCAAGATTGTTAGCGGGAATTGTGCCAGCCCTGGATTACACAACTAATAAAAATCAACCTGAGTCTTAGACTGTCAGGCAACCTTGATAGTACCTTCCTCAGGTCAGTAACATTGACAGCAGGAATCATGCCAGACCTTATCTTCAAGTTCAAGAGACTTTGGTTGTCTTCAAGGACTTCATACTAGGGTTGTTCCTGGGTTAACAAGGAATTTATCAGTAGACTTTTACATGCTACAGACAAGAGCAAGAAGGAATTCATGCAGAGCCCTGTCCTAACATTCATGAATAAAGTTAGAGAAGACTGAAACATTTCTTCGTTCAATGCATGAACTACCCTATGATGTTTTCCTGTGTTCATTCTCATTCCAAGTTAATGCAGGTGCTACTGGCATGACCTATAACTTATATTTTGGAGGGGTAGAGGACTGAGCATATGACTCTCTTGTCTTGTCCTCAAAAACCTTGCCTAGAGTTCTGGGCTTTATTACAGATGATGTTTGTTTAATAAATGATCTGAAGGTTTATTGGAACTCTTTTTTTAAAAAATATTCATTTATTTATGCATACAAGAACTGGGGTGTAAGCCAGAGGTCAGGATTGGGGGGGAGTGTGAGCATTCACCAGAAAGAGTGGGAAGCTGATTGGAACTCTTAAACTAACAATTTGACTTGCAAAGTTCTAGCATCTGCCTAGTAGCTAGTACTGGTAATGGCTGAAAGTTCCTTCCTGACTTAGCTGCTTTCTCTTTTTTGACTTCCTTTTGTGCCTATGACAGTGTATATTTGTGACACTTGCAGACTTTTTATAGTTCTCTAGTATACTAGGTCTCTCACCCATTTGACTTCTTCCATACTCCTGTCAAGGAGCACCTCTAACTCATTGCATATTTTATCTCATTGCTGCCAGTGTATTGTTTTTTAGTATATTAGTGATAATAATTACTATATCACATATACATTATAATGTGAATAATATGCATGACAGTATAATCAGTAACAGCAATACAATAGTAATAACAACTACAGTTTATTAAATACTGTATGTCAAATGCTGTGTTAAACTTTTATGTGTTTGTGTGTGTGTATATATAAAATTATTTTAATAGTCAAGAGCAGTATAATGAGGTCAGGTGTTAGAATTATTCCATCTGAAAATGGTAAACATTTTTACTACAGCTTGAATAATGAAAGGAACTCCTTTCTTTTACCTGTAAAGGAGCACCATAAAGGACTACTCAACCTTGTTTTTTATTTTTATTTATTTATATATTGTAAAGATTTATTTATTTATGCATATAAGAACTGGGGTATGGGCCAGAGGTGCGAGGGGTGAGAGGATTCACCAGAGACAGAGTGGGAAACAGAACAGACAGACTGATTGAAAAACACTTCTGAGGGGAGCAGTGGGCGAGACAGGAGAGGTCTGCCGCACCATGTGGGTACCTCCCTGGCCGGCCAGGGAATCAAACTTATGCTGCAGTGGCTGAGGATAGTGTCATAGGTTGTGTCTTAACCTCTTGCACCACCAGGGAGGCCCTCATCCTTGTTTTTCAGTTGAGGAAACTGAGAATAAGAGAGACTGTATAACTTGCCTATAGACATAGTGTATATCTGTGATACTCTGACTTTTATAGTCCTCTGGTGTACTAGGCCTCTTACCCAGTTGAACTCTTCCAGACACCTGTCAAGTACCAGAATGCAGTGGATTTTAGATCAAAGCTGGTGCTTTGGTAAGAAACCACTATATACATAGGCCCTCATTTAGCCTTCCCTGTCTTCTCCCCAGGATTTCATAAAGTTGGATAGTAAGTTTATTTCAGGGCATTGGACAATTCTATCTATACCTCTTGTTGAGACTGCTATTCAACAGCTCTTTCTTTCCCTGGGGGTATGACACAATTATGAGGGAATATCTAATGGAGCAGATATGATCAAAGTCTGTAACAATAAGAACCATACTGACTGCCCAGCAAAGGTGATTATCTTTTGTCTGTGTTAAATATCATTTAAAAACCATGACTATCTTTCTTCCATCCCTCATATATAGCCTAGTCCTCTTTATCTCCCAGATGTAGCCAGAATATTCCTTCCTTTGCTGGTATGTTGATGAATAAACTTGGTTAATCCTTATTCTGGTGGTGCAAGGATACACACAAAATTATTCAGGGTCATATTTAAACAGGGGCTGTGATGTTTGACCAGTTGTATATCTGAGTCTGTAAAGCGGAAAGGGGGAATTAGTACTATATGGGGATGATGCAAAAGTGGAAAAGAGGAAATGTCTCTTGGATGCAAAATTTCTGGTGCCCATCATTTACTGAGCATCTACTGTCTATTCATTTAGGTCTCAAGGACAGTGAGAGGAACAAGAGCAGCAAATTCCTGGCTATACCTACTAACTAAATAAATGATAGAAGATCAGAGAAAAGAGCAAAAATAAAAGTCCAGAGCTTGCATAGATAGTGTGTTCAAAGAACAGCAGAAATTCCATTGAGACCATACCCTAATGAATGCAAGATAGGTGTTCTGATCAGCAAGATCATGTAAGGTCTTTAAAGGAAGGAAGGAGGCAAGCATGGCAATGTTGAACACTGAGGTATTGCAAATAGGGTCAAGTAGAGCCAAACTGATTGATCCAGACCTGACTTTCTTTCTTTCTTTTTTTTTTTAAGAAAGAAAAAGTTTATTGAGGAGAAAAGGAACAGAAATCAAACTTTACTTTCTTGTCTACGACTTTCAGAAACAATTCTGGTGACTTCAGCTTCATGATTTTTTTTAAAGAGTCTGCGAAGCATCTAACAAGAGAGTGAAATATTCTTACATTTGGTCCCCCATGGGCCTATCTTATACCCTTAGGGTTCTAGGAACCTTCATTGAGGAAGACAGAAAAAGCAATAGGTCACAGTCTACATTGTGTAATGGGGATGCATCTGAATACCAGAATGGGAATGGTTTGACAACATTCTTCTCAGATGACTCAGGGCATGGGCATAGTCAGGAATACTCTCCAGTGATTAGCTTCACTAGAAATCTAAATAGCATTTTGAGTAACTTAGTTCGCACACCCACGGGGCAGCAGGCATTTGCACTCCTGTTTTTTATATGATGCCTGGCATATTGTGAAATTTCAATGAGAACTAAGCAGTATGAATTGTAACAATCTTTTGAAACCATTAAAAAATTCTTGGTTGCCATGCTAATTCCATCTGTAAGGATTCCTGTCATTGTGTTATAGAACCCTTGGTTTTGAGGAGCCCTTGGCAATTTTATTTTTAATAATAGGTATCCCTTGATGTTTAGACTAGAGTTAGTCCTGAAATGTTCCACCAAGAGATTGACAGTTGACCTTCTCATCTTATCAGGCCACTTCTAATCTCTCCCTCACACACTAGTGTTATACTTGGTGTGGTTCATAGCTCTGAAAGTCTGTAGTAGAGGGTATGGAAATGTCATGGGCTATACATAGAGAAATAAAGGCAGAACTGTATTCCATAAATATTCTTATATAATGAGTTGGCCAGTTAATACACAATTTCTAAATGACCTTATGTTGAAATTCCTTTATAATGCTAGTGTTGGTAAATAAAATAATCCAGACTGACCACACTTTACTCTTTGTAGGCACTTGGAATTTGACTCCTTATATATTTCAGTAAACACCTTAAAAAGCTGTGTAATTTAATTGGTATCTTCTATATGTTGGTATTTTGTTGTTGTTGTGATTTGTTTTTTGGCACATGTCTTTGAAAGGAACTATTAGCTTAGACTCCAATGGCAAAATTAAACAATCCGTGTAATACCTGCTAAGGGACTGGCTCTAGGGGCAGAACAGAAATGGCCATAGCTCTAGTTACAGACATTTTTATAAGTTTTCACTGGGAGATTTTACACATTGCAAAATTTACCACTGGGAAAGAAGTCTGATTGTCTTATAGTTCAGAATATTGATATAGCTGTTCTATGTAGCTGTATAGTTATTTCATGGCCAGAGATGTCCACATTAGCATTTTGTTTCATATCTTCCTCTCAGTTGGAGTAGAAAACTGTTCTATGTTGTTTTGATGTTGTTTCTGATTTCTCGGCAAGGTCCTAAATGGAAAAGTCAATACTCCTGAAATATATAAAGTACAAAGTGGTAAACACCCAATAAAGCCATTTTGCTATTTCTCTGTTTCTACAGAAACTCGACATATTGCATGAAGGTGTCAATGTCCTTGACTGTTGCAGAGAATGAATCAGGCCTGTGCTACAATAGCAGGATCCGCTATTTAGAAAAATCTGAAGTCACTAAAAGAAAGGAGATCTCCTGCCCAGACATGGATGACTTTAAAAAGTTCGATCAGGAGCCTGATGTTGTATGGTACAAGGTAACTCAACGTGGTGTCGAATGCATTTTTTCCTTAAATCAATAGGTGGCTTGGGGATAGGAAAAGGGAACAATTTCATTCCTAGTATTTGGTATTAGATATTTTGCTGAGATGAATCAATAGATCCTCAGGTAAATAATTTAGGCATGTGACTCTAATATGCCACTGGTTTTCATACACTTCCATCAGTAGTTGTCAGAAGTCACCTCATCTTCTCCAACTGCTAAAAATAAGTAAAGTCTCCCTCTACCCCCAACTTATGAGAGCAAATGGGAACACGAGAGTGGGGATTTAAATAACACAAAGAAGTTATTTGAGGGCCATAGAAATATTACTTATTGTTAGGAGGAGGTCTGGCATACAAACAATAGCAACAGTTATCATGGTCTACATTGTAATAGCCACCACAGTCTTGCAGGCAAGAGAAATGGGCCCAGTGGAGGAGGTGTGAACACTGGAAATAATGATTTTTTTGGAAATAAATTACACTGAAAGGTTGAAAGGAAGAAAGTACTTACAGAGATGTGTTTAGAGTTAAGAGAACTGACAAGGGAGAGAACTGCAAATTACCACTGATAGGCCATCAATGGCCAGCAGAAGGAGCATTGTCACTGGAACCTGGAAACAGCAAAAGGGTACCTTGACCTTGGAGGAACCTATGAACTGTGGCATAAAGAGAGGGGGAATGGGCAGGAAAAATACCCTAATCTGTCTTAACTCCTGCCTTTCTTTTTCCTTTTAGTGCCTCCACTTACCCCTACTCTCCTCCCATGTAAACTCAAAGGTAGAAGTCAGAGGCCAAAAACAGGAGATATAATCAGTCTTAGCTTTCCTGGGCATTGAGTAGTGCATTCAAGAGCTGTGAATGTATAGAGGAGAGGAAGCAGAGAAATAATCATACACCATTCTCATTATGATGTTCTGGCTGCTCGTCTTGGGCCCTAGCGTCCTCTAACAGGGCTGAGTACCCCTTACTTGCTCTGAGCCACAGCGATTAACACCATGGTGGGGTTTTATATGTGACTGCCAGAAGTGACCTAGGAGGTTTTCTGCACTGGTGCTATCAGCTTTGTTGGAACCAAGCGTACATAAATGTATAGTGGTTTGATTCTATAGGGCCTGACACACTCTCAGTTCCCAGGGAAGCCTGAACCCTAATTTGCAACAGTCATGTTTTTGCATTTGAAATCCTTTCTGCCTTCACACCTGGGGGGGGTCTCATCAGTAGACACTGAGAGCATGGCCTCAGCAAGGACTTCCAAGCTCTATCTGAATTGTCTTCCCCATTTTTTTCTTTTCCTTTTTTTTTATTTCAAATTTATATTCCCCATACAATTACACCCCCCTTATTTTGACCCCAATCCCTCCTTTCCCCGCCCCCCACCTCCCATAGAGTGTCTCTGCTTCACAGTTGTTTGTTGATTTTTATATTTTCTTTCTTATAGTTATTCTTTTTCCTGGTCCGTTATTTAAGCTTTCTAGATTCCTGCTATGAGTGAAACCATCCGGTATTTTTCTTTTTCTTTCTGGCTTATTTCGCTGAGCATGATCCCTTCCAGCTCCATCCATGTTGCTGCAAATTGCATGTGTTTATCTTTTTCGAATGCTGAGTAATATTCCATGGTGTATATGGACCACATCTTCTTGATCCAGTCATCTATTTTTGGGCATTTGGGTTGTTTCCAAAGCTTAGCTATTGTAAATAGTGCTGCTATAAACATAGGGGTGCAGGTGCTCTTTGGAATTGATGTTTCTGTGTCCTTTGGGTAAATACTGGACTGAAACCATAAAATACACAGAAGGAAATATAGGCGAAACACTACATGATATGCACATCAAAGACATCTTTACAGACACATCACCCAAAGCAGTGATAGTGAAGGCAAAGATAAACAGCTGGGACTACATCAAATTAAAGAGCTTCTGCACAGCAAAAGAGACAATAACAAAAACAAAGAGAAACCCCACCGACTGGGAGAACATTTTTGTACACAACACTAATGATAAAGGATTGATCACAAAAATCTACAAAGAGCTGATGAGACTCAACAACAACAAAGAAAATAATCCAGACAAAAAATGGGCAGACGAGCTAAAAAGAAACTTTTCTGAAGAGGAAATGCAAATGGCCAACAGACATATGAAAAAATGTTCAACATCACTTGTAATCAGGGAAATGCAAATCAAAACTACAATGAGATACCATCTTACACCAGTGAGAATGGCACATATTAAAAAAACTAGCAACAACAAATGTTGGCGAGGGTGTGGAGAAAAAGGAACTCTTTTGCACTGTTGGTGGGAGTGCAAACTGGTCCAACCACTATGGGGAGCTGTGTGGAGATTTCTTGACCTACTAAGCATAGAGCTTCCATATGATCCAGCAATTCCCTTTTTTTTTTTTTCTTAATTAACATACTATTCTGACAGATAAAGTGGAATGTGATGTTTAATATACATAAATGCGGACTACCCATAATTCAGTAGGATCCTTCATATCATCATCAGCTTTATTAGTATTTGTTAGGCATCATTGTAACAAGTTTGGTCACTGCATTATCTCTTTGATATCTCAAAGCAACTCTGTGGGGTGGGAGCTCTTGTTCTCATTTAGTAGAGATAAAAACTCAGTTAGAGGAATGCAGAAACTTGTCCACATTTACTCAGCTAAGAAAGCCTGGTTGAGTAGTCAAGGTCATGTGGCTCCAGAGTTCACTTACTTAACCACTACACTCTCTTGCAGTGGGCCTGGGGCTACACCCAACCTTGATCTCCTTGGTCTCAGTTACAACACCTGTACATAGGAGCCCACAGAAAGAGCAAAAAGGCTTTATTTAGATTTATAGTTAAGGAAGGGAGGTTAACCAACTTAAGTGATAACAGCTAGGAGAAACATCCACGCCATTAGCCTTCTCTTAAATTACTCTTTCTACTGTCATCTGATCTTTCTGCTGAATTCTTTCTTCCTATATCTAGACATCACTTTCATCATTGTACACCAAAGCAATTTTTTCTTTGGGAAATGCTTACCTTCACACTTCCTTTGAAGTAGATCAACAATGGTGTAGCAATGGCTTTTCCAGTTCTGGCTGGATGATTACTATTTCTGTAGCACTTTACAACTGATAAATAATAATCCTGACAGCTGACATTTGTTGAGTTCTTACAATATGGTAAGTAATGTTTCCAGTGCTTTAAGTAGATTAACTCAATCTCTAGAATTACTCTGTGAGGTAGGTATTATTATGATCCCCATTTTATAGAAGAAATGACTGGAGACTCATGCAAGTTAAGTGACTTTAAAAAAGTCGCAAACAGTTGTGATTTGCAGTTTGGCTACTGGGCTCATTCTTCTTAGCCAGCACACTATACTAATGGATCAAGACCAAGCAACAAGATGAAAAGTTAAAGAGCCCTTGACAATCCCAAATGCATAGTTAACCCCATTTATCACACAAGTTTGCAGCAAAATCCCTGGGGGAAAATGTATTAATGTATTGGGGAAATGTTTTAATTCTCAGCCAATATTTCAGTAATCTGCCTGCTTACCTTGTAGTCTAGGCATTACCCTACTAGGCTGAGCATGAGGCATTATGATCTGGCTATAACAATGTAAACTGGAGAACACACTTTTCCAGTGTTCATTCCATTGCACACCTGTGGACCAAACAATAGACAAAGAATAGTCTACATTTTTCTGTGTTTGAAATTGTCTTCTCTACCCTAAGAGGGTCACTTCAGAGGCAGCTAAGTCAGAAAGATGTTGGGTTGTCTCTGCTGTGAAGATTTCTGTGCCAGAAAGCAACTGGAAAGTCTCTGAGCCCTATTATTTTTAGTAGTTACTGGAAGAAGAAACATGAGTTCACCTTCATGTCTATAAGTGGTACTTTTAGAATAAGAGATTCAAATAAACTTTTGTTCTTATATCTTCCCAAACACTGAAGATTCTGACTAACAATATAATACCTACAGTAGTTTTCTTTTATTGAGGTGACATTGGTTTATAATACTGTATATGATTTGGAGGTATAGGATCACATTGTTCAGGTGTCATATAGGATCACTTTGTTCAGGTGTTGTGATTATACCCCACACTCCACAAAGGCAGCCATAGTCCACTGTGTCCCCTTCCCATTTTGCTTCCCACCCTCTCCCTTCTCTGGTAGCCTCAGTTATATAGTCAGATTTCTGGGGGTTGTTACCTAGTTTTTATCTGATCCTTTCTTTTGTTTTTCTATATTGCACATGTGAGACACACCATATGGTATTTGTCTTTCTCCTTCTGACTTATTTTGCTTAGCATAATCCCCTCCAATCCATCCATTTTGTTGCAAAGGTCAAGAGGTTATTTTTTATATAAAACTGAATTATAGTCCATTGTGTATACACCACATCTTCCTAATCCACTCATCAGTCTTTGGTCACTGAGGTTATTTACATAGATTGGCTGTTGTAAATAGTGCTGCAGTGAATATAGGAATGTATATATCCCATTGAATTAGTGTTTTTCATTCTTTTAGTAGATAGGAGTAGAATTGCTGGATCATAGGTCTACTAGTCCTGCTGCTATGGAAAATAATATGGAGATGTCTCAAAATATGTATAGTGTGTTGACAGTGAAAAGTATGTGTGTTATATGATCTTTTGAAATATATGTGTGTGTGTGTGTGTGTGTGTGTGTGTTCTTTAAACTGGTTTATTTTCCTTTCATCACTGCTTTTTACTTTAATAATTTTTATCATTATACTTATCTTCTCTTATGGGTTTCCTCTCCTATCTGAAATATGCTAGTCTTTGAGGACTAGCCTTCCATTGCCTACATGCAATCACGCTAGATGTGAAGATAGGTGGCATGGGGTGGCATGGGGGCATACTCATGAGGATGACTGAAAAAGCCAATCCTGGTCATCCTTAGAATGTAAGAGTTATGTGTAAGGGGCCTATATAGCCACTGTATTTGTTTTAGGGGTATAACCTCACACCTCTACAACTGTATGTTA